TGTATGGGTGCTGATATAGGTTCTGACCATTACCTTATAAGAAGAAAACTCAGGGCCCGTATATCAAATGCTAAGAAGGATCAGAGCACAAAATCTACGAAATATAATACTGAGGTGCTAAAATCTGAAGACGCTAATGAAGACAGAATGATTTTCTGTCTCCGGCTTGTGACTATAAAGTGTAAACTTCTTCTTCTTCATGTACCATGTCCTTTCAAAACGTTGGTTACTATCATAGCTATCTTAATTTTATTCACTGGCACCCTAAATAGCATGCTTATATCAACACCATACCAATCTCGCAAGTTGTTCAACAATGAGGTTCTTCTTCGTCCTGGACTGCGTTTGCCTGCTATTTTTCCTGGCATGATATTTTGTAGCAACCTATATTTGGGACCTCTCATTACATGTCCGAAATACTCTAGCTTTCTCTGCTTGATGCTTTTTATGATCTCAGTAGTCTTGCTAAGACGTTCTAGTATTGTGGAGTTTCGGATCTTCCTAACCCAGAAGCAGTGTAACTCCAAGTGTAAACGCATGTCAAAAATAGATCACTTGAGAAAGGCAATCAACCGAAACAGCTGTAGTGATAAGAGTTTATAATAAATTTTGTGGAAGTTTTTGAAAAAAAAATTTCATTATTTTATTGTTACATAAACGTATTGTGCTTTTGTTCTAACAACTCCAGCTTTTGACAATGTGATTTTAACCAATTTTCTTTGGCCTTTCGTTCAAGTTCAACTCAGCTTGTTGATATTTGAGTATTAAGGAGTTTATATTATATATAGTTTTTTGTTAATATTTGAGGGTTGTTTAACTTACTACAATTCTTGTTTTGTTTCAGTTTCGGATGGTTATGACGGTCTCTATTCGAGCATACAGTCGAGAGACCGTTATAATCTTTTGCTACAAAAATCGTCCTATCATGTGTTTTCAAATCATACGTATACATTTTTTATTTTATAATGTTTCAAGGCTTATAAAATTTACGAAAAATCGAAAATCATTGGTTAAAATTCCTAAATCGCATCTAAATCATCGACTTTTCCAATACCCTGTACATCTTGCACAAATATATCAAGCGAAAGTGTTTATAATACGTTTTTAATGCTCTTTCGTTAGTCTCGAGCTAATGTAGGAGTGACATTCCCTTATAAGAACACTTGTTTCCGTTTTTTTACTTTTTCCACGCACTTTCTTTCACCTATTGAAGTAAATAAGTCTGTCAAGCATTTCTTATAGATCGCCAAGTCAATTTATTTTCATAACAGTTGCACTTGGATATATAGTATGTCTTGGATGTATGGGAATTTTCTCCTTTGTCGTTTTATAGTTGGCAAATTCCAAAAATCACAAAATTGATCCTAAGGATGATATGTCAGAAGGTTTGAAATCAACACCTTATAAAAGGTCAAAGTCGTGCAATTTGGGTAAAAAGTTAGCAAACAAAAATAAACATGGTCACATAAAATGTCTCTACCACAGAGATAAAACGCAGAATTTGCATGACCAACGGATGCTATTTTGGGCCCAATATATCCCTTCTTAAATCCTCAATTTTATCGAGAAATACAAAGGAAAACTCTATAAAACAAAAATACACCTAGATGGGTTAGAGATCTAGACTCTAACAACAAGTAATGAAAACATGTTAGGAAGTTCGAAAGACAAATACCAAGGTGAATCTATGTAGCAGTGAATGACGATAGAGTGTGGAGAAGCCGATTTAATTTCGAACTTTATAGAATATTCCAGGAACCACATATCGTAAGATAAGACATCTGAGGCGGATAGGGCATGTAATGCGGATGGAACAAAATGACCTAGATAGAAAAACACTTATAGATATACCCGTTGGTCAGAAGAGAAGAGGAAGATCCAGAACAAGATTGCTTGATAATATAGATGAAGACATGAGAATTATGGGAATGCGAGATTGGCGCAATCAAGCAAACAAGCAATAGTTTAACCCAGTCTGGGGGACTTGCACACACTCTATGTATAACATTAAGGTGATACAATTCATTAGAACGAGAAGAATTAACTCGCGTAAACAAGAATCACTTCACCTCGCTCGAATTCTATACACCATCCAGTTTCCCTTCGACAGCGCTCTGATGCGCTAAATGCGAACAATGCAGTCTAGCTTAAGGTATTCTATTCCCGCTATCTCTAGTGACTTCTCTTTTCTGGACTGTCGGATTAACATGTGGTGTGAATTTTAGACCTTCATCCATTGTGACTGTGATATTTAGCTTCGTTTTGCCATTAATTCATGGGTCTATCTGTCACTGTTAGCTGTTCTTCTGGGGTATCTTTTCTCTTTTTGAAGATAACCGCTTCGGTCTTTTCTGGATTTATTCCTATTTTCCATTGGATATTTGATTTTTCTATCGTATCTAGTGCCATCTGTAGATTTCTTATAGCCATACATAGGTTCCTATATTTTGCAGCGATTGCAGTGTCGTCTGCATAAACACTGATTAGTATTCCGGGTGTTCTTGGAACGTCTGCTCTGTATATAATATACAGGAGGGGTGCTAACACTGCCCCCTGTGGTACTCCAGCTTCCGAGATTCCGTGTTCAAATAGAACTAGTCTTATCTGGACCCTGAACCTCCGGTCGCTTAGGTACGAGGATATGAGTTTCGTCATGTATGTCAGTCCTTCATGCCACACTTTGTCAAAGACTTTGCTTACATCCAGAAAAGCTGCTCTTGTATATTTCTTGTCATTTAATCCAGCGGCTATGTATTCTGTAAGTCTGAGTACTTGTAGTTAGCTGTAATGTTAAGCTCTGAATCCAAATTGCGCTTCTAGGATAAACCCTAGCTTGTCTGTATCTGATTGGAATCTAATTTGGATGACTCGCTCTACTATCTTACCGATTTCTGAAAGTAAGCTAATCGGTCTGTAATTTTTTGCGGAAATATGTGGTTATTTTCTGGCTTGGGTATCATGATTACATGGGCTTCCTTCCATCGGTTTGGGAAAAGTCTGTATCTTAGTATTACGTTCGATATTGCTTACAATTCCTTTCGAATGAAGATATTTTAGTGGTGAAATTTTTTTAATTAGATTACTTATTTCACTTGGTAATGTGGGATTTATTATTTATTCTTGTTCTTCGGACATTTCTAGTTCTGATTCTTCGACTTCTTCGATAGAACCTATGTCTTCGCCTTGGTGATAATTCGGTGGGCTCTATCTCTTTCAAGAGAGCTTCTCATCACCTCGGCTTCTCTTCTACTTAGTAGACGATTCATTTTTCTACATGTAGTTGGAGAATAGGTTTTCTATCGTTTCTTAAGGTTTTATGAAGCTTCCATTTTTCTTACATATTTTGGCCCTGTTCCTTCATTACTTTTACGTAATTGTCCCACTGTTGGCTTCTATGTTCTATTAGTGTCCGTTTGACTTGTCGATTTAATCGGTTTGCCCCATTTTTATCTTCCTGGAAGATAAAAATGGGACATCTCGTTCTTCTGGCTTTCTTTTTGGCTCTATACTTTTTCCTTATATTTTTTGTATTTTCTGATTAATGGTTCTAAATCTTCTCGTATGAATTTCATGTTCTTTTTCAGTAGTGCTATTCCTAAGTCCTTCCTTTATTATGTTTTCTAGCTCTAGGACGTTTTCGTCTATTTCTTCTGAATTGTCAATTGTAGGAACGTTTCCAATTACTATGCTCACTAGTCGTTTGAAGTTGGACCACTTTGTTTTCTTTCTTTTCCTTGTTGTTTTGTTATCTTCTTCCCATGTGCTTATTTCTATGAGTATATGGTTGTGGTCTTCAGATTCTTCGTTTAAGGTTCGGATGTCTGTTTGCAGTTCCAAGTTTTTAGCCACTACTACATCCAAATAGGTTGGTAGAGCATTTCCTGGAAAGTAGCTTGATTTGATAGGTCCAATCGCCATGGTGCCTTCGTTGTTCACTAGATAATTAATTAATATTCTTCCGTTTTCATTTGTAGCTCTGTCGTTCCAGTTAGAGAATCTGACGTTTAGGAGTCCTATTATTATGGAAGGTTCTTCTATGTTCAGGAACGCATCCAGGTCGTCGTTTTTTAAATGATCTGTTAGCCTTACGTATGCTTAATGTCACCTTGTCTCATCTAGACTTTTATTGTTGTTGCTTACATAGCGTTTAGGGCTGGCGTCTGTTGTAATGTATGGTTTATTCCTTACTAGGATAACAGTTCCTCCTTAATTTGATCTATAATTATCCCTGTAGATATCGTATCATGGAAACTTGATGTTGATAGTATGAGTTAGTTTAGTTTCTTGTAATGCTACATCTATTTCATATCTGTTTATTAGTTTCTCCAGCACGTTTGCATTTGTTCTTATGCCGCCTGAGTTACTGGAATATATCTTCAGGTATCCCCTAGCAACGTACCTTGGTTTAGTGGCATTTTTACATTTTTGATCAATTTACGATTATTTATATGTTAACAAGCCAGAATGGTGATGTTGATAATGATGATAATGATGATGATTTTATTACTGTTTTAAAAATGTTTAACTGTGTTGTTGTTGACAGTAGCAGATTCCGTATTGGTGCAATTTCTGGAGTACTGGAGGCAATTTAAGTGAGGCCTATGTTCCGCGTTGGACGCTACAGACTGTGTGATGAAAATAATAAACGTTAAAATTAATTAACTAAAATATTATTCTGGTCATATATTACAGGAAAAATATCAACTGTAATTCCCCTTTTATAGTATTCCCCTTTTAATAATCGTGAACGTTTTACACTCCTTATGTAATTTTATTGACAACACGTCACGACTCAATTTGCGCCAAGTTCATGTACAGGATACATTTTGGGACACCCAGTATAATTAATAGCTCCAGTGTTATAAACTAAAACTACAGCAGCATATTTCTTGAAAAAAGTAGGTTGTTTGTATTATCGGTACTACGTCGGCCATTTTTCATCCCAAAGATAATATTTCCTTATCAATGTACCTGTTATCTTACTCTAATCTTATTGACTCATTCAAGAGCAAGAGTTCATGCTAGACTATCCGTAAATGTGGAAGATGATGTTCAATTCACTTTGTGTAGTTATTTTTAAATAGCAATGAGAATGAGACGTTGGTGGTGCCTATTTGGGATTATTCCAGTAATAGAAATAGTTTTAGGGATAGTAAGGGTGTCTGAACGATGCCCAGATGTATGTATTTGTGCGAATCATGTTACCGATTGTCAGAGAGCAGATTTGACTGATTTACCCAACGGTATAGACCCAGATGTAAGTATATCAATTGAATATTTGCTAAAAACAATATTTAAATAAAAGATATGTTTACTCGAGGCAATATTTTGTATGATAGTCATGCCGAATACTGATAAAATAGATAAAATCATTGATTGTTTTTTCTGTTTCCCAAGTTAAATTGTTGTTTAGTTCATATAATTGTTACAAAAATAGAAAACTCTACTTTTATGTAGGTACTAAGAAATTTAGTCATGTCTCTGAACTGAACAAATCGAAAATTCCTTTACAATCATTGTATTATTTAAGGTTAAGTATACACACATGTATATATATATATATATATATATATATATATATATATAATATATATATATATATATATATGTACTTATTAAAAACCTCAACAGGGCTTGAAAGCCTAGGGAGAAAATACAATTATTATTATAGTACCCATATATTATAAAACTTGTATTAAGGGCTTCTTATCCAATCATCTCATTGCCTACTAAATTGACTTACTATTCTCCACTTTTCATCCCTGTTTGTTACTTTTTCTTCCCAACCATCAATTCCTTCTTTTCTGAGATCTACCAATACGATATCAAACCATCTTTGCCTGGTTAGTCCTTTCCTTCTTTTTGTGACTAGGGCCCGTTTTAGGAGCATCTTTTAGTTCTTTAAAAAGAAACATGTTAGGCCCATATTACGATATGTTGCTAATGTTGCAGGCTGTAACATTTTTAATAAAAAAACAAATACAGAATTGTGCGAGCTACAAAACAACAGAACAAAATTGATTTCTTTGCAATATATTTACCAAACCAAACGTTGGGTTTTTGTTAAATGTCTCATCAATCACAGACCCTTTCATACATAAGAAAAGATCATTACCGTAATATCTCTGCCACCAACCCGTCGTGATCATCATCATCATCTTTGGCTCGACAATCCTCTGTGAATCCTGAGCTGCTCTAAGATTAGTCGCCATTCTGTTCGGTTTCTGGCAACGTGTTGCCATCTTCTGATCTCTAGTATCACCAAGTCTGTCTCAACTCATCAAACCACCTAATTGTTAGCCTCTGCGTCTTCTTCCTTTAGGTTTTCCTGTCGTTAGCTTTTTAGCGATCATGTTGTCAGGCATTCGTATTATGTGTCCGGCCCATCTAACTCGCTGTGTTCGAATGAACGTTACGGCATCTGGTTCATTACAGAGTTGGTATAATTCGAAATTAAATCTTTTGCGCCATTGCCCTTGATCGTTTATAGATCCAAATATTTTGCAGAGTATCTTACGCTCTAATCTTCCCAAAAGTCTTTAATCCTTCTGCCTTAGAGTCCATGTTTCCGGCCCCTTTGTGAGGATCGGTCACAGCAGTGTTTTGTATATAATAATTTTAGTTTTTCTTTGAATATTTCTTGAGTGGAATTGATTCTGAAGTCCATAGTGTGCCCTATTTGTGAGGTTTATTCGTCTTTTAATTTCTTCGCTTCAGAAGAAAAGGTCTTCCTCTTTTCATTTCTACAGTGAGGCCTCTACGTTAATATTCGTTTTGGGATCATTCTTCTAACATTTTTTAATTCTTTTAATTTAATTCTGAGCTTTTTGTGTCCATGTCTTATCTTCTTCTTTATGTGCCATCTCCTCTAAGAAGGTTGGCAACCATTATGACAATTCGCACTTTCGATATCGCTGCTCTAAAGAGGTCAGCAGAAGTGCAGTTAAACCAAGCTCTCAAATTGTTTAACCAGGAGATGCTTCTTTTTCCGCGACTCCTTCTACCCTGTATTCTTCCTTGCATTATTAATTGCAACAAGTTATAACGTTCGCCTCTCATGACATGTCCCAGATATTGCAGTTTTCTGACTTTAATTGTATTTAAAACCTCTTTATATTTTCCTATTCCTCTCAACACCTCGACATTCGTGACTCTATCCAATCAATCAATCAGCGTTCATTCTCTAGGGATAGGGTAAGGAATATCTTTATTTCGAAAGGAAGAATGCTTGTACCCGTTTAGGGTCGGTTGACCCTCTTCAGGCTTGAGTTGGATGTTGTTGTTGTTCGTAGAAAGGCAAACGCCCGAAACCACCGGCGTAAAGATCTTCTCCGTTTACTTCCTGATGTTGTGGCACCTTTTTCACCTGGAGGAGTTTGTTGGCTTCGGAGAGCCAGAGAATCAGAGAGAAAGGCTTGTTGCGTGTGATTAGTCCTTTTCAGTTTGTCTTTTGTGTGTATTTGAGCTAGGTACGACAAGGCCGGGTCTCTAGTGACCATTGGTCCTGTGCAGTCTCGAGCTTAACCCGTCCCCGTAACCAGTGTATTGCACTGAAATTTCGTGGACGGGTGTGCTCGTGAGTGGAGGCGCCTCGGCTTTCGAGAGTCAGCTTGTCGCGCTTTGCTCAGTGTGAATGTGTGTGATATTCCAACAGTGACGGACGCTACCATTTAGGTGTTAGACTCCTCGAACCGTCTAGATTGTCCCCGGCCGCTCACATATCCCGTGTAAAGTAGCGGGGGCTGCAGGCGGTCGGGGGTCCCGAGGGTGAGGGTGCATCGGTAGCATGAAAGAGGACCCCTTTCACTGTTGGAATGTAGAGTTGTGTGTATGTGTGGTGTGAATGTATGTGTGTGTGAATGTCTGTGTACTGACTCGATAGTAGCCCGAACCGTTTCTTGTGACCTCTAGTGACCTTTGTTCCTATGCCGTTTATGCGCAAACAACACGAGACTAGTGTATTGCACTAAAATCCCGCGGTTGTTGTGACTCTATCCACCCAACTTATTCTAATATCCTTCTGTAGGCCCATAACTCGAAGGCTTCTAATCTGTCCGAAACATCTTTCTTTAATGTCCAAGCTTCCAACCCATAAAATAATACGGAGAACACGTAGCATCTCAGAAGTCTTATCTTTATAGAAATTGAAATGTCCCTGCGGCAGAGTACGTATTTCAGTTTATTGAAAGAATTTCTTGTCTGTCCTATTCTTGCCTTAATCTCTTCTGTGTACTCATTATTTTTGTCAATGTCCTATACTATATAATAATTCCCATGAGAAATAGATATTTTTAACTGTTTTTTAATCAGCTCGTATCAGTACTTCTTCTTCAGCAGATTCTTCTTTACAAATGAATGCACAAAATTATGCTATTTGTTCATTATAAGTATATTTCCAAAATAATGTTTCTATCTTGACATTAACATTGACATAATTGAAGGGAAAATAATTGTCAGATTAAAAAAATGCTTTTAAATATATGCTTATAAATATCTTCCGATTTAGAAATTCTGATTGGTTTATTTCCAAAAGATCCGAAAAACAGGCCACTAGGAAATAGCTAAGGTATAATAGTAATCATATTGATTTTCACCGTCACTTTTATTAAGTCGTCAGATATACGCTACGGCTGGGATGATTATTGTATCTTCGGAATTTTTTAATTTAGGTAGACCAAGTTAATGGGAGTGGTTAAGGCCTCCTATGATGCAGGTAATAAGTACATTGGCACCTTATACAGGACGCTGCAACTTCTAATATTATCTAACATTATTTTACTATTAACTCTTTTATAAAATAAATTGTGTGTGGATTTTATCATAAATTGTAATAAATAAGTAAACAATAAGCGTTTTGGATATATATATATATATATATATATATATATATATATATATATATATATATATATATATATATATATACCTAGAGCTAAGATTAATACTATTAATATTCTTAAACTCACCAGTCTTCCGGGTTGAACCGCGTCGATTATCATTGGGCCGAGCTTTCGACATCCTCTTCGATGTCTTCTTCAGGACTTTTGATACCTCAGTCTCCCGAGCTCGCAAATACTACTACACTGATTACTAACCAATGCAATACTGTAATAGCAATGGATGGTTTGGACTGTATAATTCCTGTAGTTCATCGTTTGATCTTCTAACCTGTTTTTTATCCCCTATACATTTATCTTAAAATGAAACTTTTCTCCTTGTGCGTCTTCTTTTTGATATAGCTTGTTCTTGTCATTTAGTAATTCGTCAACATATTTTTTCCATTTATCCAGGATTTCCACCTATTTACTTATATTATTTCTAACTCCATTTTAAACAATATAGGTTGTTGTTCCTATCATCTTTACTCATTTCTGCGTATTAATAAAGGTTTCTTATTTCTTTATTTTTGTAGTTATCTTCTATTTCTTTTATTTAGTTTGTTTTCTATACGCTATATTCTTTTTTACCAACACATTTTTTACTTTCTTCTTTTTGTCTTTATATATATATATATATATATATATATATATATATATATCCCTTTTCTCTATTGTTTCTTTCGTAATCATTTCCATCATTAATTAATTTTTTCTTCTTTGTGGTTCTACTTCCATTTGATAAAAGTTACCCATATTTTTTATTCCCAGCTTGACTTCATTTCTTTTAGTTTTTTGGGCAATATCGCTTATTTTTTTCTGAACTTCTGATCTCATAACTACATTATTTTTTCTATAGTGTATTATTCTGTGTGTTCCATAGTTTTTACCCTTTTTATTCCACTGAGTTTCTCCTTGATCTCCAATTTTCTTGTTTTAACTTTGCATTTTATTCTCTCTTTTTTGTTTTCCGTAAGGAGTTTTTGATTGTTATTGGGTTTAGTTTTCAGTGTAGAGAGGAAGTCGAAATACTAGAATACCATTAGTTGAGGAAAGTGCCCTATCGGATACTTTTTTTGTACCCTAATATTAGTTTTAATACATCAAAAAATTTATGAATATTTTAGAGCAAAACAAATAATAGACTATAGAAAATCATTCATTAAACGAAAATAAATCATTTCTACGAAGTAATAATAAAATTTAAAGTTTTATAAGAAACGGTAAATTTAGACTGACAAAAAAAAATTCCTAATACCGGATATTAGGAGAACGGGATAAAATTAGCCATCGAGGCAGAAATTACAAATATATGTGCCTTTTTGTCTATATTGGTGCAGTCGGTATGAGCCCACTTAAAATACTTTGAGCACTGAATCCA